GTTAGTTTTCGTTAACGATAATAACCTTGGTAATACACATTTCTCAGATAATGAAGAAACACTGATTCTGCACTATGTCAATTTTATATTTTATTTTACTGTGAAAATCTCTGGTTTTAAATGTGCAACAGAAGTAAAGAAACGATATAGAAAATGAGCACGAATGCTAAAGTTCTCCTCCAAAAAGCAAAAACAAAGATCAGAGATGATTCTGAATTTAGTGAACTGATTATTATTATGATTATTTAAAAGCCGCGTGACCCTTTTAAGATGATCATGAGGAGGCTTTTTAATTTATTCCTAAATAATAATGACATACAGCTGACATTCATTTTAAATTAAAAGATACATTTTCTGACATAAAGTAACATATTTGTAAATGGCAATACGTGACTTCCAGTGTGGAGCATCTGTAGTGTTTCTAAACTGATTTTTTGCTCCTTATCAGCTGAAACGCATATCAGTATAAAATCATCTATAGACTAGTACTCTCTCCTAAATCCATGCAGATTCAAATGATGATGATGAAAATTTGTGTAGTTAAAATTTTCATTGCTGTGAATCCAGCTGTTACAGGGTGAGAGTCGGAGTACACCCTGGGCAGGTCGCCAGTATATTGCAGGGCTGCACACACACTATGCAGTAAAAAATTAAAAATGAATAAAAATAATTACTCGTGTACACGCCAAGCAGAAAACATTTGATCTCACTCTCTGCATTATTCTATGAGAGCTGATAACCATCTCATCTCTGGCAGACTGAGAGCCGGTTCAACTGGGTCCTTGAAGCTGTAGAAGCTTAATGAGTACTGTAATGAATTTTTGAGCCCCTTCCTTCGTTATCAAGACATGATCTCAGAACAATATTAGTTTGCATTTGCATGCTTAAGTGCAACCAAGTTTTGACAGTTGTCAATGCCGAGGCATTGCCATTGTGCCTGGATAGCACTTCAGGTTTAATCTCAAAGCGAGCAGAGAAAGAGGACAGTTCTATTCTCTGCTTTCAGCACACTTTAATTATGCCTTTCAGCGAGAGAGATACATCGTCTCCTCCAGCCCGCCGCTGCATCCCATTTATGCATATTAATGAGCATTAATTACACTCTTAATGAAACTATCAAAAACTGCCATGCAATTGATGTGTGGGCCTTCTCTTGAGGAGTAGGGAGGAGGGCTGCTCGGCCTTTGAAGATCAATGTGGGAGAAATCCAATTAGGCCAAAGAAAGGGAAGGGAATTTCAAGCAGTAGTGTTTCATGTCCATCTTTGCTTGCACGCAGACACAAATAAACAGACCGGCATAATAGGTGGATAAACATGTGCATGGGACGCATAATAGATGGAGAACACGCGCGCATGCACACGCTCGCACACACACGCTCGCACACACGCCACAACCTTAGTAGTGACCTTACTTGAACCTTTAAATGTGTGCGATTTATATTACGGGCTCTTGCTTTTCGCCTCCATAGGGAAGACACGTCTCCATAATGAGACTGTGTAGACAAACAAATTTAGGCCCCCACAACACGAGTAATACCTACACCACACACACACCCCTTCTAAGATGTCATCCAGGCACAATTACGTCTGCTCCTCGCTCAATGAGCTCGTCATTTCAGAACATTGGCGGTAATTGGTGAGGCGGAAGGCCAGGGAACAAAAAGGGATCATCTCTGTGTTTTATCCCCCACATTAAGATTCTGTCTAGACAAAATTAAGAGGAGCAAGCCAGACACTGTAGCTTCTTACTACTCCACTGCCTTATAGCTCAACTTATAATTAGCCTGCCACTTTCTCATCAGATAAGGCGTGTTTGCAGAGTCCAAAGCTGGCCTCTGACATGCTGTCAGGGGGACTGTGCTGTATGCCTACAATCCAGTTGACATGGAAACATGTTGACACTGGGTAGTGACATGTGAGGGAAACAATAGGTGCCATCTGCTGGCCTCTTTGTCTTTGGTGTCAGGGCTTTCAGAGACACCTGGGCCAGTGTACACACGGACCTGTCTGAAGACTTTCACACACAATAATACTGTCTGATAAACCCTGCGGTCTAAAGTTGTGCTTCAAAGGGTTATCAGTATGCTGTTAGAGACTCACACAAAAGCTGAAGATAATACTTAAAAAAACAACAACTTTCCTGCTTCTAATGCATCAAAACGCAGCCTAAATGCATCTTAAAAAATGCAATCAGATAATCCGAGCCATTCTCTTCACCTGTCAGTGCCTTTAATGCTAATGTTTTATATAAAGCCAAGTATTCAATTCATTTTATGTCTGCTTTAAATGTACATGGCTCATAGGAGCCACAGCTTACTTACCAGAGGCCTTCTGTCGGACATTGTTCCGGGCCTTCTCCACACCCGGTGCTCCTGAAGTAGTGGCTGAGCGAGTCCTCATGGGCTCCTGTACTGGTGGCCCGCCCTGTTCCCCATGATTCCTCCAGCTCAGGGAGAATGAGCGTGCAACTGCTGCTGCCTTCTGAGAGTCCTGGATCACTCCTGACATACGAGGAACAAAACTTAGTGAGTGCTGAAGTGTTCAAGGGCATTTTGTAATGAACAAAACTAAACGTTTAGATTCACCTAGAGCTGAAAAAACAAGAATGAAAATTAATGGGCCCTTTTTATTTGACTTTAAACAACACAGGGTAGCTGGCAGAATTATGGTTTTAACCTTACATAGGTCACTTTTAAGCATGGCACCTTTAAAACAGGTCAAACACGTGTACTGAATCGTACTGGTCTGAGTTGGTCAAGCACACAAAGAAAAACAAAAGACACAAAAAAATAAACAGTGTCATCCTTCCAATCAAATTAAAGCCACTCTAATCTCCTCATCTTTCCCATTTTGTCCTCTCACCACGTCCTCTCTGCTTCTTCTCCTTCTGTTCACTGAGTTTGTCCAGAGGCAGGTTGGCCATGTCCAGGCCATAAACGGAGCGTGCCAGCACAGCCGTAAGCGAGTCCATGATGCTGGCCCATTCTGTCACCAGCTCCTCCCAGCAGGTAAGAGAGGACAGCACTGCCAGCAGCTCATCCCAAAGCTCCCGGGAGATAAATACGCACAGGTTGGCTCGTACCCACGCCACAATGATGGTCTGGATGCAGGAGGAGAAAAGAGATGATGAATTAGCAGCAAGTTACACATACAGTGAGACACAAACACGCTAAATGTAGAGCAGGCTTGCTAGCACGTGTACAAATAAAGACAAATCGCACTGTATTCAGCGATGACAGATCCATCTCTATGACTGCCTGTTTATCAGAGAGTGTGTAACAATCTAAATGCAACCATACCCTAAAAAGCAAAGATGCTAAACTTTCAGCAAAGCCGTCTTTTCTTTGGTTGTCCTGTGGCCTCTTCATCACAGCCTCTGTGATTCTCAGTAGTACCTGCAACATCTGCTCCCTGCAGAACACAGACAGGAAATAAATTACAATAATGTCAGCTGAATTCAATTTTTAAAAAGGGATAAAAATCACAAAAACTTTTTTTTTTTTTTTTTTTTTAAATTTGCACAACTAAACATACTACTAACCACGTCTGTGTATTCATGGAGTGCTCCATGATCATATGCCGATAGATGCTAAGAACACCCTTGCACACCTCAACCTGATTTTCCAGGAGTTTTGGTACATCCTGGCATGGCTCCAACAGAAACACGTTGGATGAACTGGTCAGAAACACCTGCACCAACGTAAATGTGTGCAAACAAAGTAATTAAGACAACAACAATACTGGGAAAACACTGACTCCAACCATCAGAGGTTATGAACACATATACCTGTAGTGTTGGCTGGATGCCGGCTTTGATGCTCCTGTTCTCCTCCTCGGTGATGAAGCCCTGATTGATGGCACTGCTGAACGAGTAGGTCCTACCCCAGCTGGACGACCGCTTGTGACTGTGACTCTCCATCATCTGGTAGAAGACAAGGCCGGCCAGTCAAACTCACAGTAGACATAGACTCATTTATTAAGACAGGTGCTGTAGACTTTATAGAAAAGACCTTTTTTGTTAATAAAATACATTCAATCTGGTCATAATTATTATTTTTACTGTAGCTGTTCTGTGTTTTGATCTTCTTGGCTTTGTAACTACAAATATATGAATCAATATCAGAGTAGCTGCTAGAAAACCTATAGTGCTAAATCACAAATCATTTATTTTATTTTATTATAAATTCAGATTCATCATCATCATCATCCTGTAACAATCGTAGCATATGTAGCTCTGTGTGTTTCTTCTCCAAACTTCTACTCTCTTGATTAAACTTGGTCTATAAACTAAGTAGGGTAACATGATTGGTAACATCTATATGATTGATTAAAATATTTAACTCAAATAAGTAAAAGCACTATTTCTTTTTTCTATGTATTTGTATACACAAACTGCATGACTAATGCCAGTTAATCAACGTCAGCTGGTTTTATGCACATAAATGCATCGTAACGGTCAAAAGGGTTTTAGTGTTTATTTCTCAGTCTCTGCACCTTTATCATTCTACACCATTAACTGGGGCTCACAATAGGCTGCAGAGACGGGACACTATTTCTGCACGTTTGCATGATCGATACAGGCTGCAGGTAGTTTCTGTGAATAAAATATAAAGCTGCTAATTGCTTTGAAGTAAAAATATGCACTTTAAATATTGTGGTAATTAAGTTATTGAGGCATATGATTTATAGGTAGATCCTTGTGTGTAAGCCGTGAGACCAGTTTTCCCGTGCTTCACTCGCGTACGTCAGTTTGAAGAGGAAAAAGAACTCCACGGGACTCCGATGTGAAAAGATGTAACAAAATTTTTTTTCCACAGTTTGCATCTTACAGGAGTGGTCAGGTTTAACTTAACAAAATAACCTACTACGGTAGGAAAACCGTGTGGCTCTGTTCTACCCTGCTGCCGCGTATCGCTTATGCCGTATTAACTCTTTCTCTCTCTCCCCCCTCCTGCACCACATGCGCTAATTTGCATACATCCGTGATGCCCGGATTTTACTAGAGTCTTTAAGGCACATGTATTCATGGTACTACGTAACCAAACCAACACAGCAATAAAATAATTTTAGTTCCACCATAAACATGCATTTACTTCCTAAATTATTAATTACACAAACAAGCTTAACAACAGCGAAATATAAATACTAAAACATATGAACTCTCTTAACTTGGCTCCCACACAATGTTTACAAATAACAGAAAAGATATGTCTGTCAATGAAAGTGAATAACTAATAATATTCTTATTGTATTTCTGATTATTTCAAAATTGTTAGTAATTAAATGTTTTATTCTGTAAGATTCTCAACTCAAACTGTACCAAGTCTGATACAGGCCTGGAAAAACTACCTGTAAGACGGGTTTTTGAAAGCATGGGGACAAAAACAAGGGCATAACTCTGATTTTTATACAACCTTTTAAGATTGTTTTATCATTCACGCAGTCGTTATATATGTGACAGGTTAATGCAAACTTATTTATCTTTCTGTATTACTTACTTGCACGTGCATGTTATTTGTCTCGGTGCTGATAATCTGTTCGGAGCATTCGTCCACTTCATCTTCCCGAGCAGTTCTGTCAGGCTCTGCCATGAAAGAGGGTTTCTCCTGCAGGAGCCACTTCCTGTACACTTTGATGACCTTCCTGGTTGCAGAAGCCTCACAGGACGGCAACAAGAAAGCCTTTGCAAAACAAATTAACAAGAAAGAAAGAAAGAAAGAAACCATGACTTATTAGGATTAAAGTCAGTTTTAAATGTGAATCTGTAATTTAACGAAAAGGCCAGCAGAGGGCGACACAGTCCGTGTTACTGCAGTGCATCTTTGTTAGAGGCATCTTCCAACAGAGCAAAATAGAATATACTGGCAAAGAAACAGAAGACAGAAATACTCCACCTGGTGGAAGATCTCGTTGACGAAGTTCACATTGTCCCGGGTGGAGAGCAGAATGGACTGCACCATGTCATAAACGTGGCGGTGCTCCTCCTCAACGCTACACAAACTGGAATCGCTGGCTCGTCGATCTGACAGGGTGCTACTGTTGGAGTGGCTCTTCTCAGGCTCCCCCGCTGGTCCGTTTGTGTCCCCATCTGATGTCTTATCCTTCTCCTGGCTGCTACTGCCTGCAGTGACAGTCTGGAAAACACAGGAACGAGAGTCCTTCAGTTTGCAGTAGGGGGTACCTCCTCACACGGACCACTACAGTGTCCTTCAGCACAGATTACTTGGCTGTTAGTTGTATTTTATAGCATTTTTAAAGGGAAATGAACCACTGTAGTATGTATGCAGCATTCGTCTCTGGATAAATCACATAAAAATCCATTTATTTTCTCCATGACTGATTTAACTCAAAAGTGAAGCAACAGCTTGCTTGTGAAGCTGTCGATCAACTATGTGTTTTATATAGATGTAAAATAACATCTAGGAATGAATAAATGCATGAATATTTGTTCAGAAATATAAACCCCAGATGTTTTTATACTACCGCTAAAGATGGTGTGCTACAAAAACATCTGGAGGATAAAGAAGATCTTGGAATAACAGAATGGAGAAAGAAGAAATCAACACTGTGTGTTCACCTGGATGAGTTTGGGAATGACCTCGGTGCCGTTCTTTGCGCTCTGCGCTGAAGCAGCACTGCTGATGTACTTCTTCTCCAGGAAGAAAGTGACAAGCCAGGTGATGAAGGCCACACGAGGTGCTAGGTACTGATCCCTTGTGCAGAAGGTGCTCTCATTGTTCCGTGTCACTGGCACATACAAGGGTTTTGGTCTGTGGTGGGGGAGGTCTGATGGAGTAACAGTGGATGAAGAGTTGAGGGCAGAGGTTAAAAATGGAAAAAAGTGGGAGAAAAAGACAAAGATAATAAAGATTAAATGTGTGGCTGTGGTGAGGTCAGAGTTTTTCCCACTAAATCAAATTGTTCATTTAAATGATGAAACAGGAAATGATTTCATCATTTCCCGTATTTTATGAAACTGCTGCTCACGAGTAAAGCCGTCACTGTTTTTATTAACCCTTTAAAACCGGTCAGAGC